AAGGTGTAGTAATGTGACGATCATCTGATTGGTATTATGATAGTTGTCTAACGAAAGATGTTACCACATATTTGGATGTATAGACTGGGCTATATTCCATCTTATCTAACTCTTATCAACTATCAACCACAATTACTCATTTGGATATATAGATTGGGCTATGCTCCATATTAACCAATCCCAATCCACCATTTCTCTCCCTACCTCCCTGTTGACTAGTGAATAAGGAAGCTTTGAAAAAAGCACTGAATGGCACTGAAGTCTTGTAAAATATGACATATCACACCGTCTATGCTTATAGGAGTTGCATCCTGCTTGATATTTATTCCTCTAGATTTGACAGTCAACACTAACTGGTTCCGAACTGAAGTATCTACTAGAAGATAAAGAACTTTGGGAGCTTGTTAAGTTATGGCCTGTATGGTCCTTAGGAGTAGTGTCCCACTTGGCCACAAAAGCCCCTAGATTTGGCAGCCAGCACCAACCAGCAGATCAAAACTGAAGCATTCACTAGAGAGTACAAGCACTACAGTGTCGGGTCTTTTCTGCCATAAGATAAAGGTGCGAAGAGGTGTGATGTAACAAATAAATTAGAAGATAGTCAGCAGCATTGACTGCCCTCACAAAAATTGGACCTGTAGGTGATGGTTTAAAACTAATGATAGGATTTCCATCCCCTAGATTGGTCCTCCTCAAAAATATGAACCCACTTTAATAGTGTTACTAGTATCACTGGGGTATTAAAAGTAAATAGGCTAGCATTTAGCTATTATAATAACAATAGATGATGTTTGATGTATATGTAAATTGATAATTATTTCAATAAAATCCCTGCATCTAATGCCATTCTACTATAAAAAAAAAGAAATAATTAATAATAGTCTGGAATATTATATAAGGTTCTGGAAGGTTCTAAAAGATTTTGGCATATTCTAGAAAGTTTTAAAGTGTTTCAATATGTCCTTGATTATGTATTGTATGGTGTAGCAGATATAGCAAAGTGAAAAAATTGTTACAAATTATTAAAAAAAATTCTTATCCATAAGACAAGAAGTGAAATAACTTTAAATATTACTATTATAATTGTTTATAAGTCTTTAATATTGTTGGACTCAATGGCAAGTCTGTCGCTAATCCGGATCAAGACTCATATAACATTAGGTAGTGGGTCTATGTCACTGGTGATATCAAAGGTACGTATGGTGATAATTATCCTAATCTTCCCTTTCGTTTGGCTAGTCTTCTCTTCTAATCCTTTCCTATTGAACCACAAGGTCCTGGATTTTTCTTAAGGTGACTAAATACAAATAAGGTAAGTTTATTAATTATTATTGCACAGGTACAAACACTTGGTTTTTCAATGAATAGTATTTTATTAATTGATTCGCTTACTCTTTTATATTGGATATCATTGCTATTTATATATCTTGCGACACGTCTCTAAATCTATTGTCGTGTTATGCAGAATTGCTAAACTTTGACAAGTTTTGTACCCATCAATCATGCATAATTAATGCATGATTGATGCCCCATGCGGCACTGTGCCGGGCCCCACATGTCATGTCATGCCCTCTACTACAATTTTTATGCTAACAATATATTGTTATTAATGTATGGCGAGTCAGTCGCTAATTCGAAGCTACGGCTTACATATCGATAAGGATAGGAATTGTGGATTGCTTGCTTAACCAAAGGTATATATTAATGGACTTTCTTCTTTTGTATTGCTAAATTAATCCTCTATCACAATTTCTTTTGGGCCTCTAGGATTCTTACAATAGTCAATAACTTTCTCAAGGCAAGTTTATTAATATATTATGGTAAGTACAAATAGTATTTTATTAATAAGTGCACTCTTTCCAAAACACATATAGTTACCATAAAAGGAAACCAAAGCGAAGTGAAAAAATGAGTGTGAACAGGAGCCTAAGAAGCTTCAACCAGGCTGCCAGGCCCAACTACAACATAGCAGACATGTCCAAGGAGAGTAACAATATTAGGAGTAGAGAAACAATGCCCTATTCTGTACAGAAACCTATCAAAAAACAAGAAAAACCAGCAATGGAAGTATCAACCCATCCTTCAACACTGTTGTCAAAGATAAAGGAACAACAACAGTAACAGCAAACAACCAAGGCACAGCAAAAGCCCACACAAACGGTCGCCGAAAATAGATGGAGTCAAATAGTAGAAGAAGAGCTAGATGAAGTCTCCACTTCCTCTCAAACCATTCCTGAAGAAAAGGAACATAATGGAGAAAAACAAACTGAAGCAGCACAGATACTTAAGAATAAAGTATTGAAACAAAACAACTTCAGTGCAACAAGAATCGATAACAGTGATGAAGAGATGTTTACCTTCGATCAAGATACCCAAGAAGAACAAAATACTTGGCAAATAGTGAAAGGAAAAGGAAAAGCAGAAACAAGCATGAAACCCAGGCCACACTTACTCTTTGACAGAGCGACAAGATACAATAGATAATGAAGCAAAATTGGAATTATAGCAGCAGAAGTATCAGGAGATAATATTTGGCAAAAGCTCCAGTATATTACAAAAGCCATGGGAAGTCCCGAAGGCCTCCTTACAATTCGCAAGAAAGGAAAATAAGAACAAAAACAAATCATTGCCATTTTTGGTGATAAACAGGCTGCAGATGTCACATGTGCAATCACTTTCCCAGAACTGGATAACAAACACATGGAACACATATCAGCCACAACTGCTGATACGAAACAGGAAAATAGTATCAGAGTATGGGACATTCCCCTGTACACAAAACCCATAGAAGTGCGACAAGCCTTTGCCAAATATGGACAAATTGACAGCATGAGTATGAGCACTCAACACATGTGGCAATCAATCATTATAACATTTCAGGAAAAGAGCAGCAAGGAAAAACTTGCAAACATATGGAGTGTTTCACTGAAAGCAGATGCAGTAAGGATTTTTGATGCACAAATGGGTTTACAAGAAATGAAGGACAGAGAAAGCATTGCAGCAAAACTCATCAATCTTCCCCCAAATACAACAGCATTTGATTTACACATAATCTGCCAACAAATCAGGGATAAAACATGTTATATTCCTAGAACCGGGAACTATCAAAGAAGAAAAGTTGCAATCATTAGCTTTGAAAGTTATAAAGATCTACAGAAGGCACTAGAACAAAATTTCACCCTAGGAGAAACTCAAATCATATGGGCTCAAATCGAAAACAAAACCTGTGCAATCTGTGATACATATATACATCTCGCAATAAATTGTCCAATCAAAGAAAGAAGAATACAATGGCACCAGTATAATCAGGAACAGGTATCAAAGTTTGGGAGACTATACCAAAAATTCAAACCAGCAAAAACAGCAAACATCAAAAAAACCATGGAGGTAAATTGAACCAAAAATAGACCTAACAGACTGGGATCCTATGTAGCTGCAGCAAAATCACAACAAACACAAAATCAACCAACAGTCAATTCAAACAATCTCCAGGAAGTCGTAAGCATCCTTTGACAAATGCAACATGACCTGGCAGAAATCAAACAACAAATGATCGAAATGGATGAAAGAATTACAAACCTTGAATATTATGATGAGAACGGCCTGGGAGCCATGGAGAAAACAGAATCCATCTCAGAGTCTAATACAGATAATAACCAAACAGAACATAATCAAGAAGGAAAATATTCAAATAACCATGAAATCTAAGACCTACAAGTGCAACAAAGACAAATCCATGCAACAATTCAAAATACCAATCAGACCATAAATAATCTTATAAACACGATTCATAACCTTGTCCCTGGAAACACAAACAGCATGACCAACCTCTAATAATGGGAAACAATCCAAGCACCAGTGCCAATGCATAAAGTATAACTAACAATCTTTCTAACTTATATGATTCAATTGAAAATTACTCAAATGAAGATATACAAATAGACATAGAAGAAACAAAAAACCAATTGACAACAAATAACAAACTTACAAGACCTCCCAATTTGAAAATACATATACATCACATAACAAATACAAACGAAACAAAATAATATAACAAGCCAGCCAACACATGGCACATCATAACACATAATATCAGGGGTATCAATAAAGAAACCAAAAGACTCCAATGGAACACATATTGTGAAGACCAACAAATCGATATAGCAGTGATTACAGAAATCTAGGTGACAAAACAAGACACAACATTTTGGAAATGCTCCAACTATAGAACCTGATGGTCCAACGATAACAAAGGAGCAGGGATTGCAATAATGATCAAAGATAATATTGCAGCACACGTGGGAAAAATTATCAAACATATAGGTAGAAGCATCAGCATTGATCTGCACTTTAGACATAAAACGGTGATTACAATTATAGTAGTGTATATACCAGTAGCCCTCGGCAAGGAAAGAGACCAAACAATGTAATGGGTGGAAGAAAGAGCACAAGCAGCAAAGAAAAACAAACATAAAATCATCGTCCTATGTGATTTTAACTCAATACCAAATCCAAGGTTAGACAAAACAACACAAGCCAAACACCTAAGCAAATCGAACAACCTTACATTACGTATCCTCAAGTACCTTCAATACAATGAATATATAGACATATTCAGGGAAGTATATTCATGCCAAGAAAAATACATATGGTGGAACAGCAAAAACATCAAAACCAGAATCAATCAGATTTGGATGTCATCAGATGAAGAGTAGAACTTGGTTGAGACATATATAGCTGAGTCAGAAGCAATAACCCACAGCAATCATGAAATAGCAGGATATCAAATTGAAGTTGGTGACATAGTTCACAAAGATAAACAAAGTAAAAAAGACAAATCAATATGAAGATACTCTCCAAAACATACAATTGAAAAACAATGGAAACAATTCGTAACACAAATTACAAATAAACTAAAAGCATAAGAAGAAAGAATCAATCCTAAACAAGTCTCAGTGAATAAGTTATGGAACCTTACATGGAAAGCAATCAATTAAGCCATGAAAGATAACATCAAAAAAATCAAAACCAGACAGACCAACGTCAAGGAAACAAACAAGACAGATAAAAAAACTGCACAGACAATTACAGCACTCAATAAAGCAATAGCCATTGCAAAAAAATACCTATCAGGAAAAACAGATGCTGAAAGCACAGCAAGACAAGTAAACGAGTGGATTAAAGTAAATGTCCAAACAGCAAAACTGTTGTCAACTGAACTTACAGATACACCCAAGGGCATAAGCCTGATATACTGGTTTCAAGAAATATGCAACCTGAGGACAAGCATGGCAAAAGCATTCAAACTGCTTCTTTAGCATAAAAAACAAGCTCAAATTCAAAAGTACATAGAAATCAGGCAACAAAACTATCAATTCGCAAAGAAAAAAATGATAGATTCACTTCTCAACAAAAAACCAGTACACATAAAGATGGACAAGTTACTTCTCAAAGACCCAGAAAAAGATGTGATCATAGACCCAACCACCATCAAAAATATAGCAGTAGATTACTACAGACAAATCGCACTATCAACATCACAGAAACAAAAAACTGAAGAACCAAAATGGAAAACTGAATATACACCAAAAGCACATATAGACCCAACATGATACACACAACTCACCAAGCCCTATACAATACAAGAAATAAAAGAAACAATTAAAAAAATGAACAATAAATCCTCTCTGAGCAAATTTCAACTCAGCTACAATATGATTAAAAAAATAGGAACAACTGCTCATGCAAGATTAGTAAACATCTTCAACAGAGTGCTTGAAACACAAGAAATTCCACGGTTTTGACAAAACAACTTAATATACCCAATACCCAAAAAGAAAGATTGGCACCACAACCTTAATCTAACCAGACCGATCACACTCCTAGAAACAATAAAAAAAATCTTTACCAAAATACTGAACAATAGACTAACCAGTATCCTCACCGAACACAAGATATTGTCACCATTTAACTGGGCAGGTCTTCCTGAAGGAGGCACACATAAACCAATCATGATCATTAACAATATTCTCGAAGATGCCAGAGAAAACTGAAAAGACTGCTGGGTTCTAACCCAAGATATTAGCAAGATATATGACTCAATGGACAAAGAAAGGTTGGAGGATTCCTGATCAGGATCAGAATACCCCAAAGTATAATTACAATATTAATGAAGCTCAGCTTCGACAGAAACAACCAAATTATCATATGTCATGGACTTACTGAAAGCTACAGTTCAAAAATAGGTATAGACCAAGGTGACACAATCTCCCCCTTCTATGGCATATATACTATGATCCCCTTATCTGCAAAATAGAGCAGGAAAACCTGAGATACACAATCACCACGAGATACCCAACATCAGATCCAAGAATATCAGAAAAATCCAAGCTGAAGGTATCCTCGATTACATATATGGACGACAGTACATGAATTACCAGTAGCAAGAAGAACCTGAAAAAAATAGGAAAAATTGTTATGTCCTTTGCAAGTTTGAACAATCTGAGTATTAATTCACAAAAGTCCTTTCTGCTTACAACAAACAAAGATCACACACACAACAAGATCAGATGAAATAACCATACAATACAAGCAGAACATCACAAGGCACTGATCAGAATTCTTGAAACATGGATAATAGTATCAGGTGCCAAAAAACATCAGAAAGAATTGATCAAGAACAAGATACAGCAGTGCGTCAATACATTAATAAGAACGCACATTACAGACAAACAACTAGCATACATACTAAATCATGTGCTCATATTAGCAGTAGACTATCTGCTCCAAGACACAGTACTAACACAAGAAGAATATGACAAGTATAACAGTAAAATTACAACACTTATGAAACACAAGATCAGAGTAGCATTGACAACAATTAACAGTGGAATACATTTACATACCACATACAATATTTCACATATTTATGATCAACAGCTGGAGCAACACATTAAAAGATTGATCATAGATTGCAACTCAGATACACTGATAGGAAAAACAATGCGAAGAAGACTTCAAAATCTACAGAATTTGATATGGACAACAAACAGTATCCTAGAAATAAATGTCAGCACCAGAAGACACAACCAATCAAGTCTACATAGTCAAATCCTAGAGCTAATAAAAAACAATAATTTCACAATTGAACCGATACAATTAAAAAAAATCATCCAAACACCAGAAAAAAAACCCCTTAAGCCGATTGAAGAGCTGGTAGACCACAAATGGTATGAAAAATACAAAAATGGCCTAAGGAAACACAAAATAATGTACCTAAAACAACTTACCAATTCAAGTCAACAGAAAGCTTTAAGTTGGTCCCAAGTTAGCTACTAGGAAAAGGATAAAGCAACGAAAGGTAGAATTCCAGAATGGTTCCATCAGCTGCAAGCAATAATTGCTACACCAAGTATTACAAACAATGCATTGTGAAAGGGAAATTGCATGGTCACATGAGTCTATGCAATGGTGATCCCAAAAATGACAAATCTGAGAAAACTGA